TAAAAAATGAGCACATTATTGTTCCCCAAATATGTTAAATTCAGCAAATGAACAGCAGTTATATAAAATAAATAAAATGTACAGAAGCGTACTCTCTATAAAAGATGTGTTAACTTATAAAGTCAATAAAATATGTAATTTGATGGGGCTCAAACTTACAACTGTACATTTGTAAGTAACTGCGTACAACTGTACAGCCACACTTCGAAATTGCGTCGCCAGTGCGCCCTTCATTTCCTACTGAGCATCTGTCATTGACTGTCTTTTGCAGAAATATTTATATAATATATAATAAAATTTAATATTTATATTTTTATAGAAATAATTAAATCTGTTGTAGCCTATTTATATAATTAGAGCTCTGTAGAGTCAAGACATGTTCAACATCAGAATAAGGAAAACGAATCTTGACCTCAGAATCAAAAATTATATTGTAGATGAAAATGTGAGTATTGTTATTGTTAAAAACAGCGATGTATGATGATGTCAGAATCACATCAGTATCAGCAGATAACTGCTTAAAAATATTGTCTGACAGAAGTTTAGATTTGACTAATATTTCGAAAGGATATGTAATACGTATGTATTGTACTTTGGTAGAGCAGAGCATTTAGGTGATGCTGAGCTAATGTATGCATTGTATTCATTTTAGATAAAAATGAAGTAAATGTTATTACTCTGTAATGTTAATCCAGGAGGATGTATTCCCAGTTTCTACATTTTATAAATGTTTATATATTGGTATCAGGAGATATGATTAAGAAAAATATTCGATAGTGGCATCGGCCCAGAATTCCCACATCAGTACATCCCTATTTAAAATATATAAACACTAAATAGTAAGTTGTTTTTTTTTTTCCCCTGGACGTGTATTTTTGTCTAGATGTTTACAGCACTTCAAGATTCCCTGTAGTGTAATTTTTAGTAGAACAGAATAAAACAATCCAATCAAAACTAGCCATGTCCTGTTTGAAAGACTTTCTTTTAGCAGAGTGTGAGGAAGCATGGGTTCATTAACTTTATTAATGCAAAGTTAAATATCGTCTAATGCTGTGAGGTATTCAGAAAATACTGTGATGTAAGTTTCAACAATATCGCCCAGCACTATACTCGGCACGCCTCTTTACACACAAATATTTGGATACCTTCTTTTGTAGATATAGAAAGGAAAGCTGATCAATTATAGTCATCTTTGTAGATCCGATAAAATTACTGACTGCTCTTTTCTCTCTCCCCACAGACAGCAGTTGATCAGGCCAATGGGTGTGAGGAAAGATGGCTCACTAGCACCCCTTGAAGAGGCTGTCCGCCAGTGCAGTGTTGCAGACAGCAGTGAGTCTGACTCAGATTAGCATGAGCCAGTCTTGCTCACTCAGACACTGCAGGGTCCCCGCTGCCCCTCAGGGCAAAGCCACTAAAAGAGTCTGATATAATCCACATCAGTCTCACTTCATAAAAGGTCCACACAGAGGCAGAGGCAGGCTGCCCTCCTGCAGTATTCTTTTATGTTTTAGTATGTCCTGCATGTGCACACTAAACACAGAGGGTCAGTCACAGGTTCGGCTCACCTTTTGTAATCATTCCTTTTTTTACTCAAGGTACACTAAAATGTTAGATGCCAGTTTAGCTTATTGAGGATGAGCTATCAGTTCGGTTCAGGTGAATGCCTCCTATAAATCCAGTGTGGCTTAAAATAATGTGGCTTTAAATACACGGATAAAGTACAGTCTATAATATTTTGCCTGGAGTGTAATTTTACTGTTACTCCATCAATATTGGGTTTGGAAAACTATGAAGAATAAACAGGTTTTTTTGTGTGTCAAGGTAAGAAAAGCCATGAAGTGATGATCACTTAATGTACAAAAATACTGACTGCCTTACTCAGGCCATACAAACATGAATACTTGTTTAATAGATGTCTGAAGTTCTGCTGAGAGGCATTTCATCCACAGACATTGGGATGCTTAGCTCATTTCTTCAGAAGCCTCATTTCTTTAAAGAGCAGTGGTCAAACAATGGGATTGTGTTTTTTTTTTCTGAAAACAGTGAAGCTCTATGCAGATCTGTTCAAATCTGTTAAACATGTTCATTTCTCTGGCCTTACTGTAGACTGATATTTGTACTAAAGTCCTTTTTCTTTGGAATCACTTTTTTATGCACAATGTGCTTTTTTTCATGTCCACATAAATTAGATTAGAACTGAGAGGTTCACTACTCTTGACACTCCACTGAACATTTATCCATTTGTACCATTTTTTTTTCTCATCTTTGAATCATCATTTGCACTGTACATACGTGCCTCTTTATGTAATATTCTTATTTTAATCTTACAACAAATGGCTGCTTTTATCAAAATGATTTGTCTTCACATAAAGCATGGATTGTCTTACCAACAAACATGCTGAATTTCCTTACTGTTTGTCACAATGCAGAAAAACATGTTACTTTGAAAACTAAGACTAGAAAATCTTTGACTCTACTGAAGTGACTGAAGTATAGTAACAAACTGAAATCCTTTACAGAACATAAATGCCAGAAGTACAGATTTGTCTTGTCTGACATGACACGCCTAACAGGTATTTCCCCTGTTAAATCAGCATGTATAATGAGGTAAATATTAGAAACTGTGGATGTAAATTATTTATAATGGTTAATTGGAATTGGATTTCATGTAAACAAAATCATGTTTCCACAGTGTATCTCTACTATTACTTTGAACTCAACTGAGTTTTTTTTAGATGCATCTTTTGTGTCTTGACTATCATAAATGCTAAACCTTTCCCCTCTGTGATGAGTCTATGAATGACATTTGTGCATCAAAATGCTGCTTTTCATATAAAGAAGCTTCTGCAGTCTCTAGCAGTTCGGCAACGCATGAGGTTCAAACAAAAGTGTTATTTGAATATTTGTGTGAGTTTGTAAAATATGAACTTCGTTGGGTTCATTATTCTTTCCTTATTCCTTGAATATGAACATGAACGATGCATTCACAAACATGATACAGGGTTTAACCTCTCACTCTAATGCTAAACTCTTCCAGACAAATGGAAGAAAATCTCTGCTCTGCCTTTCACAAGAGAATGCAAAACCGACTCAAAAACACTCAGGTGAGAGTGGCAGCCTAGAATGTTGATATACACCTCAGGAAGAACATAGACCTCTGTAGGCAGCATTATGCCCATATTAGGAACTCCGTGTGTAAGCTGGTTTTCTCTATCAGCCTCTCATGTGCTGTGGTAAACTAAAATGTTCCAAAGCTGTTTTGCGACACAGACAGACAATCTCCTAAAAACACTGCCAGATCATCTTAATTACGAGGTCCTTAATGAACCAAAATAAGCTAACAATGCTGTGCACTAAACTGACATAAGACTGACAACTTCACCAAAATACCAAAAATGCACAAAAAACCAAACAAGCTTTGTGAAACGTGGTGGTTAAGTGACCTTGGCAGTAAAGCTGCAGTCTGAGTAGCTGATATTGGTTGAACAGTTGAGTTTTTCTAGCTTCACTACTTTTGAATTATAGGATTTGTTTTATCTAACATTTGCTCCATAATATTCTGATGCCTCTGGAACACTAAATTTAATTGAAAACATCAACCTTCAAATCACTCCAAAAATCACTAAGCACACAGGAACCTAGTCATCAGTAGTTTATGCAAGAGTTCTACAAGTGGACCTCTGGGGGAAAAAATAAAATTCAAGAAAAATGTAGCCTGTAGGCCCTTTAATTAAAAAAAAATAAATAAATAAAAAAAAGGTTTTTAGAAAAGTGAATTGGTATAGATTTCTATTTATTAAATGTTTTTGTCAACAGTACTTGATAAGAAACAACAGGTACAACGTCACCTACAAAACAGCAGCATCTGGATATCAAGAATACAAAATACATTTGTGTGAAAAGAAAGGAAATAAAAATTCTAACAATTCTAAAAGAAGCATACCATTCACAGGGAGGGCACCCAATTATTTGCATGGCTAACAGTTTTGAACTCTGGGGAAAAAATAAAAAAAAATAGCACACAGTAAAACAGATGGTCAAGGCTTTGTGCCATCCTATACAAAGAGCCTGAAACATGTCGTTTCAAAACCCAAAACAGAGGATGCGATCAGTGTAGATAAGATCAAGACCACATTATCGTCACTTCATCGACTGTGCAAAATGTAATAATTGCTTTCTCGCGAACACTAGCAAGCAAAATTAGCTTTCTCATACAGGCGCCCCCCCTTCTTATTGACACCCACCTACACACACTGACACAAACACACACACACACAGCAGCAGCAGCAGCAGGATATTGGGGTTCTTTGTTGCCAAGCAGAGACATTTATTAGAGTTTTGGAGGGAGGCCCCAGCTCAGAGGTTGCGCACACACAGTAGGACACTGCACAGTCAGGAGGTCACACCTCCCATACTAATTCAGCACTGTCCTCTGAGCTGGGCCTTCTGTACGCTCCTCAGAGCACCCCTTGACCCAACAAACAAACCCAATCGACATCCATTTCCATTGCATCATTAATGCAGTCCTTCTGAAACACTACCTTCCCTTTAAGGCTCCAGGGCCAAACAGTCCCTCTTATAACCCATTCAACCAATGAACATCCAGCAGTACTTTGATTACATGTAAGTTTCATACTTAAATTTACAAATATGGATTTTACGCTGTCTTGTTAAAATCAGCAGGTCCATGTGACCAGAAGACTAGATTTAATAAGATAATGAATAAAATGGCATACTGTTTAATCAGTTTTAAACATTTCTTCAGATTTGTGCAGCGTTAAGCTCAGGGACCACATATAGACCAAAGGAACTACTACATTCACACAGTGTTAAAAGAGAATGCATTGACACATTTCGTTTCATCCATTAATTAGTAATTTAATATTCCCCATAGATCAGGAAGTGCTATATATATATATATATATATATATATATATATATATATATATATATATATATATATATATATATATATATGTAATTTGTCATGGAAAACCCATATACAGTATTACCTACATTTAACAAATGGATTATAAGTGTTCAGAATCAGAGTAGCCTGTGTATTTCTCATAAAGCTTGTAGAGGTCTGTGGTTACTTAGTATTGATGACTCTGTGCTCTTGCTCTCCGTCTCTGAGGAGTCACTCTCTTCACCACTGCTGCATGAGGGAACTATAGCTCCAGTGCTTGATGGTGAAGTGCTTATCAGCATGGGGAGGGTCTGAAAATTTTAAAGTAAAATCAGTGTCTGTTGTTTAAACAAATTATCCATCACTTCTTGGATACAAGTCTTTAATTACATATACAAAACCATGCGGGACAACACACCCCATTCTCATGGCTGTTCATCAGGTCCTGAATTTCAGTGTGCCAGCCTAGGATCTCTGCAAGCCTTGTGACTGAGTCCACCAGGTCTCCCAGCTCCATGTAGTCTCCTCTCCTCAGAGGCTTGCGCTCAAACGGCCCCACCGCATGCCGGTTAAGCAGCAACCGGGGCACGTTAGATTTCACCGTGCTCACCAAGCTGGCAAACGGCTCAATCTGACAGATAAGAGAGGAAGACGTTAGACTAGCTGTCACAATTGTTTTTGTTTTTTGTGTCAGGTATATTACGCATACAAGAATATGTCTTGAGTGCATATAAATTCAGCATGAAACATACTCGACAGGCTAAGCAAATGTACAAGAGTAACACAAAATACCACAAGGTTAGAATACAATAAAAGGTATAAAAACAAATAGTGGATATGTAAATATATGCAAGATCTGAGAAAACTGTCTAGTATGATACAGTATAAGACACTTGCACAATGATGCTGTGCTACATTCTGGAAGAGTGGTAGAAGACAGGCTACAGGGCTAGATATCAAATCAGAAAGAAATTAATACTTATTTTCAAAGACTTTCAGTTTTAGTTACTATTTCTGGTCTGAGTAATGAAGCGACAACGGATTTAAAAATCGACAAAATCGTTTAAAAACAGAGACGTCTGCATTTTTCTCAGAGTCCATGATGCTGATCAAAAGTGGAAGCGTTAAGTGCCAACGCCACCGCGAAGCAAATCACCCTAAATTAACCTACGGACACAATTCAGTTCTGCTAACAAATCAAATCCACCCAAAGCTCAACATGTAAGATTCACTAGAGTCTGTCCATTCCCTGACATTTCACATTACTCATTAAGTATAGCTGTTATTTTTGTTTATTTTTAAAATTAATTAACTTATTTTAACTTTTTTAACATTTATTTTGTCTTCTATGAACAGTTTTTTAAGTTTTAAAAGACATTTTTCCTTTTTAAAACATTTACTGCTCATTTCTTTATTTCACAAAAATATCTAACGGCCAAACAACTTAAAAATGCATTACATTCAAAATAAAAGTTAACCAAAACATATTTGATGTGAGTTAATTTTATTTGCTGCCTGGACTAATCATTACAGGTTAAGCATAACTGCCATCATTCACTTACGCTTGTTTGTTTATCTGTACCTTTGTAAACAAGAACTCTGATGTAATTGGACCTTCACAAGTTTTATTTCATTATAGCGGATGAAGTCGGATACCGTGATTACAATATGAGAAGCAATACATTATTTTTAAAAAAGTGACTGGATGTGCACTGTGGATATGCGCACACAAGAACATTTTTTTCAGTTATTGTTGTGACAGTAACTGTCTTGCACAGTAAAAACAACATACTGAGTGTGAGAATCCTAATGTTTGATGCATTTTTACTTGTAGTTCAGAATTAGTTTTATAGTAGTTTCTGTTACTGAGTTGTGACTGTGTGTCTTGTAATTGGCCATCTAGCCTCAAAAAGCCCTCATTAGTTTTCTAACTGTTTGTGCCGGCAATGTACCAATGTCTCTGTGGCACCGCATGTATGAGGTAATTTGATTTTGTCGTCGCAGCTCTTAACGATGTGTTTATTGCAGAAACTCATATTTAAAGATAAAAATACAATTTTTGGTGCAGCCCTACCCATGATCTAGGCTAATGCGGAACGAAAGCTATAAGAGGCTAAGTGAAGATTTCTCAGCATGCTGACCTGCAAAGAAGTGCCCATAATCATGAGCAGGTCTGCTCTGGGGAAGTCCTGGGCGTGCTGAAAGTATTTTTCAGGTAAATCTTCTCCAAAAAACACAACATTTGGCTTGACAGTGGCTGAACAAAACGAACACGTAGGCACACTGTCACTCATGATGGCTGTCTGAAAAAAAAAAAGAAGTAGGAATGCAAGATAAAGTATACAGATTGAAGCCAGATGATCACAACAATAGTCTTTCAGAAGCAGTTGTAGTTTAGCACTGTTGCTTTTAACCTTAGCTTCCTCAGCAGGAAATGGTGTGTAGCACAGGTGACAGGAGGCTGTGGCAAAACTTCCATGAGCTTCCACCAGCTTGTCATCTGGAATACCACACACTGACAAAACGGTAACAGGCATCAGTTTTTAGACATGAAGCAATTCATGGCTCGTAACTCGCTCTTCTTTAGCAGGCTGAAGATTCTCCATAAGGGGGTGCTATTAGCTATTTTAGTTAATTGCACTCAAATGGCCTTTGTTGCTTTGCACCATGTGTCCTTGTTTAAATCAGATCAGCAAAAACATTTTAACATTTAACACATTAAATAACCATTTACCATCCAATTGACACTGTTGGCTACATTGGCAGTTCTAATTTAAAAGACACTGATATCGGTAGTCGCTGCTTTTCATAATAAACCCTACAAATTTAAAGACAGCTGTATATCTCAATTAAAATACTATTAAACATACTTTTCTCCAGGCCGTCGATGTTCTGAGTGTACATTCGGAGCAGTAGGCCTTTCTGGTGCAGCATGCGGATAAAATAATGAATGTAATTGGGACGATGCCGGCCAGGGTACAGCTCTTTGGCCAAGGAGAAAAAAGGACGAGGGTCATCAGAGAAGTAGTCAATGTTAAATACAGCTTCAGGGTAGGGAACGTTGTACTTTTCCAAGTTCGCATACAGGCCTGTCCCTGGTGTCCTGATAAGAAAAGGGAGGGGTCATAACAACTTTAGTTCAGCATCAATAACTGAATAAGCTTTATCATATGCCACAATTTATAAAAGCAAGTTAAATCCATTCAAGAAGGGGAAAAAAGTTGTTAAACAAGTATCCATAAAACGTTCAGGCATGACAGAGAAAACAATATAAAAGAATGAAAGAATTAGTAGCTTCAGTGCTTGAGACAAAGTATAACTCTCACCTGAAGTCTGGTATACCACTAGCTGTGCTGATTCCAGCCCCAGCCACCACTACCACATTACGTAGGCGCCCCAGCTTCATCAGCCGGCCCACAGTCTCTAGAGCCCCCCGCGGGGCTGAGCGGCCTGGGGCTCGCACTGAAGAGCCAGAGGGGGAAGGGAGGCCATGCTTAGTGCCGCCTGATGAACTCTCACTGACATCACTGTCTGTCTTTGATGGCTTTGCTTTCCTACATACACAGTTGGGCAAATGAGGAAACAAATAAGAACATATTCGCAAGGGGTCAGATGTTAGTGTAACTAAGGAATCCTGTCCTGCTAACGGCAGTCCACTGTACATCAGCCAGTTTCAAAGTAATATATATGGAAATTTATTTTGTTGTGGTCATGTCAAAATCAAAGTCCATTTTTCTGGTTATTATTATTATTTTTTATTATTATTATTATTATTATTATTATTACTACTATTTAACCTTGTTTGAAAACAGCAGCTGCCCAAACATGACCTTTTCATAATGAATAGATCAACAGAAATGGTCCAAAACTGCTTTAAATCAAAACTCATTACTTAAAGTAGATTCAAGTTTATAAAGTTTCCATTTTGGAGATGTCATGGCTACTATGACAGTGAAGTAAAGATGCAATAAGCTAATGGCCATAGCCATTGTATATTTAAAAGAGCAAAGTATCAGAGCCAGTGCAGGACCTTACCGTGTTAATAAGGTTTGCAGCTCACTGACCCTCATGAGGCTGAGGTCATCAAGTAGGCCAGAGTCTGAGGGTCTTCCTTGCTGAGCCGCAGCTGAGCCAGAGTCGTGTGAGCTGATGGAGCTGCGAGTTACTCTGGTTACTCTCCTGTCTCTGCTGAACCTGGCCTTGCTCATGCCTGCACCTGCAATATTACTCATCATCAGCACCACTAGAAACCAGAGCTAGGCAATAAAATTACTGTTCAGATTGTGATATGATAAATTTAATTAGCATCATGTTCTTAATATGATAAATATTATAATGTAATCCAAAATATAAATGTAAAATTAATATTTTGTTTTCCACTGAATGTGGCTATTTTTGTAGACACAACTTCCAGCATAATGTTTTACCACGTCTTTGATGATGCCAAGTGCCCACCAATTATCCTAACTATAATCTAGAAATATGATGTTTTTTAGATTGCATCCATAGTTGAACTGTGGTTTTCTTCCTCCTTTAAACCTGCGCACATCCACAGCCACCTTGCACCATACCTTAAGGGCAAGGTTTTCTTAACTCAGAAGACAAAGGGTCTTTTTCATCTTCGCAGTTGAATACACAACATACAGAGCCTCATCACTTAGTGTTTTTTTTGTTCTGTGAGACTGTCTTGCAAAGAAACTGGTACAGATTGGCATTTCAAAAGACGATACTCTCATTTTTTAATTAATAAAAGCCCCCCTCCTGACTCCCTTCTTAATTTTGGACAAGAGGTTCTTCGCTTTGGCTATTTCAGATCCAGAAGCGTTCAGAGCCATTTTTAAATGGCAGTTAAAATGAAATCACAGAGCATCTCTTTTGTCTCTTTGCCCTTTGGTGGGTGAAAAGCTTCAATGTTTTAAAACTGTCACCTCTCAAACAAAAGCTAATGGTTGTAATATATTTAGAGCTCCCCCTCTGTTCAGCAGCTATGCTAATACAACCCACAGCTGTGGCAGCTTTACTGCCCAGAGAAGGGGAAAAGAAGGAAAGGGAGGGGGTGTTTAAAAGAGAGGTGGGGTAGTAGGGGGTCCAGGATTGACTGTGTGTCAACAAACCCAGCTGGAACAGAAAGGAGGAAGCCCCTTAAAAGGCCCCTCAAACCCTCTCGAAAGGAGGGAGAGTGAACAGAGATAGATGATTCAGAGGTAAATTTCAATAAAGCGAATACACAGAAGACAAGGGGTGGGAGAGCGCTGCCAAAAGTATTCTAGACTGTTTTCTAGAGCCTCAGATATGCCACTATCGATGACTGACAGCCACTGACCAAGGAAGAAGGAGCGCTTAAAAGGGAGAAAGAAAATGAGGCGTGGGCAGAAAAAGAGAAGAGTGGCGATAGAGGAAAGGAGACAAAGAGATACATCCAATAAAACAAAGCCTGCGTCATGGCATACAAACGTGATAAGGCAGCCTTTTCACTGAGGAACCTTATCACAGGCTGGAGAGGCACCATAATCACATTCAGACGGACAATGAGCCCCGTTCCACTGAAGTGATAAACCCATCTACTATGGGCTGAGGGAAAGCATCTAGACAAGACCACATGAAAATTTGCAAACCTACACGACAGTCTTTTTGAAAAAAGCTCCTCCTGATCTGTTGACAAACTAGGTGCTCTGAAACAGAATTACAAATTAGAACTCATTATTGTTATTTTTAACCCCTCAGTCTTTTTAAACGCATCTAGGCTTACTCCTCGTGAGATTAAACTTCCCCATCTCCATTACTTTAATAGCCTTTTCTGGGGAGCTATTAAAAACTACAGGGGGTAGGAGTTCACTGCTTTTGTCTCCAGTCCACCCATAGAGACACTGCTGAATAGGGCCAATATATCACAGCAGAGCTTAATAAGACTCCATGCAGATGGCACAGAGAACCCTCTACTACTCCCTCAAAACAGAGGATCACAAAACACGAACACACTGGCATGAAGTAAGAACCTTTTAAAAAAGTGTCAGGTGAGGCTGCCATTTATACACTTCTCAAACTTCATTAATACTGACCTGACCTGCCACACAGGACAGGTAGTTTAAGAGCACTGATGCACAGGTAATACTGAATGATAAACCTTACTTTCAGTTCTGAGGTGTGGTTGAATAGCAAAATTCAACACAGTGAAAACCCTGGGGAATGACAAAAAAAAATAATAAAAAAAAGTATTACCAGGAACCTGGATTTTTCTCCAGTCAGACATTAACATTACTTTTATACAAATTAATCATTTTTCCAAAGCTCCTCATACCGCACTCACCCCAGTTTTAAATCACAGTGGTGTGAATATCTGCTAAAAATGTAACTGCAATGTTTACAGACATGAACGTGTATTTAGTACACAATCCATCCCTGTACTTTGGCGGAAGTAACATTATTAAAAGTAGTCTACTGCTGCTGCTTCAGCACTGAATGGTCAAGCGGTATGGATTTAAAGAAGATAAAAAGCTGTATGAGAACAAGAGAGAGAATATGTGATGTGTCATAAATAAAAACTGGTGGCGTTATTTTAGTTTGCTAACGTTGGGTAGATCAGCCAGTGAACTGTGTTGACTGGCTGTCGGGACCTGTGTGTCAATTGTGTTGATTAAAGTTCGTTTTTAATGTTTTTCCATAGTAAATGATAACGTTAGTAACATTACTGCTTAAACACTTAAGTGATTAAACATTGTCATGTCAGTTAGTTTATGCAGGAATACAGCAAAACTTGTCTGTTTTCTGTTGGATGTTTGTGGATCACATGAAACAGACGAATATCTGCCTATTCAGCCCACAGCAGGTTAGCTCCATCCATTCACGCTGAAGCTACAAGGCATGTTTGAGTCCTCACTGCTTTTTGAATGAGGCACAATACTGGGCAGCCAATCAAAACAGTGGTCATTTACATATATCTGTCTTAAAGTTCCAGTAACAAAAACAGCCAATTTCACTGTTAAGTGGGGTAAACAGATGGTTGGGAAATGGTTGTGTAAAAACAAATGATGACTGTTTTGGGGACATACAACCATGCAAATCATCATAACTGGACCTCAAGGAAAAAATACACTAAAATAAATGTAGGATAAAGGCCCATTAAGCATGAAATGGGTAATGGCTGACTTATTCCTGCTTAGCTATCCAGAGGTGGAGTCAGCAATGGAAAGGGTTCAGAAACAGAGCAGTCTGTGGCTTAACAGAGACTTTACTAAGCACAGGCACATGGAGGCTTCTCTCCAAAGAGAAAGGCAAAAACCAACAGGGCCAGCAGTGTGACTGAAACCATGGTGAGGAGACTAGCAACAGGCAGACATGGAAGGAATTAGCTGCCAGTGACACTCAGAGTTAGTAGGACAGCAAAGAGGTAGAGTTGAATATTGGCACACATCTCCGTCTGCAGGCCTGACGTATCCACTGCAATTAGTCAAAATGTTTGCTGACCAGCAGAGAAATTATTCTGGGACGGAGTGCACAAATATTTTTACACAGGTACTCTGACCAATGAACTACTGATGCTACATACATACAATTTTTCAGTGATTATTCTTTCTTTTAAGATGCGTTCTACTATGAAAAGACGACAGAGACAGATACATGCTTGTCATTTTTATGGTTTGCTGAAAATAATATTTTTGTATATTTCAGCAGCTTTGGCTTCCAAATCCTTCAGGTATTTTTTTACTCATTTTACTGTACACGTTTATGGGCAGCCCTATTCCCCACAGTAATCTAATACTGTAATCAAATTAGTACATTCTGTCCTGCATCACCTCAAAGCTCACATGTGCATAGCTTAAACTCTCGTTGTAACACCCTTCCTGACCAGCATTCACACCACTAATCTGGCCTCAGCTCATCCAAAACCCAAGTAAGAGATTAGTAAGGAGGAGGACGGGCTTTTGCACCAAAGGCTTTCGCCTCAAAGGTCCAGTCATGTAAGCAGCGTGTGTTTGACGTCTGCTGCCCCCTATGCAAGTTCTGGCCTTGGAGCTACAGTCACCATGGTGACCACTTCAGCTCCAAAAGGTCTCTTCTCCTCTTTATCCTGCCTTGGACTAATGACATGTCACTTAGTGTTGGCTCTTTGTTGGATTCTCACATGATACAATGCCACCAATTTGGGCTTAATGTATTGTTTGTTCAGGGGGTGCACAAGTGTGTCTACATAAGAGCGAGCGAGCACCTGTCTAACACCTTCAATACCCTGGATTAAATCAAAGAAGCAGCACATTGATGCTGATTTACAGTACACAAATTGTACATATCAATAAGCGCTTTGGCGTCATTTGGAAGCCTTTGACGTTACAGCATCAAAACAACGTGGCAGCTGAATCAGGTCAATTCTTTTGTCCCAGTTGATCGCTATCATTTAGCCTATATTCAAGATAATGAGAATTATGAGCCTGAACTAATTAAATTAAACTAATTTTAGGTGCACCAATTGCTGAAAAACTTTGCCAAAGGAATTAGCCACACATGAGCATGGTGTTTGTGGTCCAGAAATAATTTTGCAATATCGATACCTGACCTCACTAAAACTCTGGTGGCTGAATCCTTTCAGCAATGTTCCAACATCCAGTGTAAACTCTTACCAGAAGCATAGAGGGTGTTGCTCAGTGGGGACAAACTCTCCATTAATACCCTTGGTTTTAGCAGAAATGCGGGATAACTTAAGCCTTAAGTCAAGTCTTATCAATAAGAAAAGAGCCAAGGGACATTCCTATTGGACAAGCCTCAACTGTAAGCTTAACTTAACTGTTTAACTCAGAAATCCTTGGGAGTGTTGCACAAAGAGAGCTTATAAAAGCGGTGCTTATTTGAATTAGCCTCGCTTTATTTAACCAAACAGTTCACTCTAGGCTCCGTGGGTTCCACTAACAAAACCCAAGTGAGATCTGTTACCACTGATTCAAGCTGCAAATCAGTAATTGAGGTTGATGCGCATGCATGTGATATTTAAGCAGCCCAGACAGTCTTACAACAGTGGGAAATGTCTTTACTTTCCTGATCCTGTTGGGGTTACATACTTAGAATTTCTAAATTGTGTAAATGCCAAAAGTTATTGTGACAATGTTCACCAGAGAGCCTGTGATGTTCAGCAGTACTAATTATCCTCTGATAATGCAGATGCTTTCAGGACCAGCAAGAGGATGTTCATGTGACAAAGCAGACATTGATGTGACTAAAGTAATTAAAATGTAACTGGAAACTAGCAATTTGGAGGTGGAAATTAACATAAAAATGAGAAATCCATAAGTGTAGTAGTTGTACTATATTAATTTTATATAAAATTAATTAAGGCTTTGTTCTTGGCACAGGCTGAACAAGACCACTGATAAAAAGTGAATGTCCCTCACAGATCCACCATCCATGTGATCTTTGACAGTTTTTGAAAGATCTTTCCACTGTTTCCACAACCTACAGTAATATTATCCACACTATGCAAAAATGTATTGTGTGGTGACTAAAAGATGCTGCAGGTGGTTAAATCTGGACTTTAAGTTTTTAAGCAGATTCTGAACAGGGTGTACACAGAAAAACATTGCTAGCTCTTCACAGTAAGCCAGAAAATACATACACATGAGTAAGCTTGATGTTATATTTACACAGGCAACAATAACAAATATTTTGTGGGTCTTTAATATCTTATACACTGCATAAACCTCTGATTTAAATCACGTATGTTGTTATAGACTTTTTATACTCTCTCCATATTAGTTCACTTTTTCAAACCAATATGATAATGACAATAACTGCTTCTAAACCTTTTTAATATAGTTCCTCATTCTAAATTAAACATATACTGGTTTATATTTGGCTTTTAAATCATAAGTTATTTTTCTAAAAGTAATTATATCCCTAATGACAAAGCTAATTAGGCCCCATGGTATATTCATAATAAAATATTAAATATAATACACCTTTTATGCAGCAGTGCACTGGACAGTATTGAGGCAAATTGTTGTTCTAGAGGGGTGTTTTAATACGTCACATGGTTTGTCCAATGGAATCGATCAAGCTACACTAAGCCTTAACTGTAGCACGGTGCAGGCTTGTCCTAAAGCATATGCTGTCATGGTAATTAAACAGGATTTAAGATTATCTTCTTTCGTGGAACCAAAATTGATGACAATTAGCCGGGCTCAGTGGAATAAGTCTGGCTTATTGAGTTAGCTCCCTTTGTGGAATCCCCCCTCCGGCCTTGAAACAGCAAAAACAAGCCAAAGACTTCCATCTAGTGGCAGAAGTCAGTAGTGTGAAAAATCTAAAAAATGTCATGTCATTGGCCTTCAAGGGAATCCACAATGAATGAACAAGCCAAATGTATGACTCTCTGTCCCCACAATCTCTTTCATAATATACAATAATTTTGGCAAAATACTGAGAACTCAAAGAAGTAAAAGTCAACCATGGCTGAGATGCCACCTGCTGAGATTGTGACAATAATTTCAGCCTCTACACACTTCTCATAAACAGGGCTTCTTAAACTTCTTAAATAACACTTGCCATGCTGATGTAAGTGACTATATACACTTTTATCAACACTGTGGTCATTGTCATGTTAAACAGAAAGAAAGTCTGCTCATGTACGTTGCATCATCACTGTGTAGGAATCTTAAAATTTAAAGAAAAGTAGTTCTGGAATCCCATCTAGACAGAATTTTAGAATGGGTTAAAGATTAATACAACATGAACAATTAAAATGTCCAGATTCCACCTTCACATAGACGTCTGTCCACTACTAGCAAAACAGTGTGCTGTTGTCAGCATAACCATGCACATCACTTACAACTGATTCAGCTCAATGTTTTATATTCCTGTATAGTGCTGGGCAATTTACAGTTGTATGCAAAAGTTTGGTCACCCCTGGCCAAATTACATATTTTATTGATTTTTTTTAAGTGAAAAGGTATAAAAATGACATTTTCTGCAAATGCCACTACACTGTTACTTCATACCTGATTAACATAAAACCAGAAAAAAAGGATTTTGCTAAAAAGTTTGGACATCCCATTTAGTAACACCCAGTTTGGAAGACATCACAGCTTGCACATGCTTTTTGTAGCCAGGAGTCTTATTCTTCATGTTTTAGGACTTACTCTTACTCTTCCTTGCAGAATGCTTCCATTTCTGCAACCTTCTTGGGCCGTTCTGCTCACACAGTATGTTTACCAGTAGATGTTCAATGAAGTTCAACAGTGCACCACCATTCCTGTGTCAGCTAAACCTTCCTGCGGGCCCTGCTGTCAAATGGGGTTTTATTCTGCTTTTCTGGCCATTATATGAGCCGCTCTATCTGAGAGTTTTCTTGGTCTTCCAGATCATGGCTTGACTTCCACAGATCCGCTGAAATTTCTTAAGGTGGCCTACACTTTTTGCCTGATTTTAACCCCGAACTGGCCCTTGTGACAAGTTTTCACGATCTAAAGTGATTTTCCAGGTTGGAAGCTTGATCAGAAGCGGCTGATGGTGAGGATGATGTACTAATGCGAGAGGAGAAACAAGTCAATCTTCAGCCCTCCGACTGAACTCTGAACTGATCGAGGGCTCTTAGATATTATCAAATGTTTGACATTTATGACTCAAAACGTTCACAAGTCCTGTAGTGTAAGAAGGTTAGAGATTTACTCAGTGAGTGATTCAAACAACAGCCAACCAGAGAGCTAGAAGAGCGGAGAAACAGGTGAAGACACATGCATGCATGTCACCTGAAGAGCAAAGCACAGAGACAGAGGAGCTTTGTGTAAAACACAGGCAAATAAGAGCCGTTATCATGTTCATAATGTTTGGATCTAGACATCAGCCACTCTCTTTATAATTTCAGCTCAGCTGCCAGTTTGAAATATTTCTCCAGTTCTCACTGTAATATCAGTGTATCTCAGCCCCATATTAATCCCCAGTTAGCATTTTTGCTATGCATAAAAGCACAAACAGGTCCATTTAAGTAAGTTCAGCTCTGTTTGTGTCATGTGATCTCTGAGGTTATCTGGGAGTGAGTTCTTATTCATAGCCCAAACTCGTTATGTGTGTTATGCTTCCTCTTTGCCTGATCATCTAGAGCGAGCGTCCTCACAATGAGAAGAAATTCTGTGACAAACTGACATTAAGTTTGTGATGCTCTCCCTTTTAGAAATCTGTTACATTTTTAAAAGTCGTGTAGTGTACACCCAGCCTTAATGATGTTTCCTAAAGTGGAAACTGCACACTGGAAGTGCTTTGATATCTTTTTACAGCCTTCTTCTCCTTCGTAGGTATCAGTTAAACTTATTTTCATCTTCTCAGCCAGCTGCTTAAAGGAGCCCACAGCTGCTGAGACATTTGCAGCAAAATGTTATTTTTCCACAATCGTTTGTGGCAGAGGCTGTGTTTACTTTTTCTCACTTCATATGCAATTTGGCCAGGGGTGCATACAACTGTCTCATATATCCACCAGTATACTGTGAAATTACTTTTGAGTTTCAGTGATATTACAGGAACATTTAAGGATCATCATATAATGCTCATAAAACAGCAATATCGCTGATGCCAAGCAATGTATTTAATTTTATTTTGTGCACTGTTTTAAGGTATTTGGGACCTTTAACAGTTAACTGCAGTGTTTGTTCTTCGCTGGGTGTTTTCAGACTGTTTGGGAAGAATGATTAAATATACTGAATTGAATACACAGTAAGTGTATTTCTGTAAATCTGTTTGGTGTCTGTTTAACGTTTACAATACCATGTGAGGTTCCTTTTAATGTAAAATTAAGTATAAAAAGTATAAATAAAAAGAAAACAGACTAAAATCAAAACAAGCTGTCTGCAAGCACAGTGCCTTATTTTATAATTTTAAATTTTAAAATGTTAACGCTGACTTAAAAATGAATATCAAATGATACCGCGATATATTTAGAAAATATCGTGATACTGAATGAGGTGAAATCGTCCAGCACTGTCGTTTGGACTGCCTGTAAGATCTTCTGAACGCTCATTTTTTAAAGTTAACCGATTAGAAACTGCTCTCTCAGCATAAAACTGCTGTGTAATACGAATTTTTAAAGTTAACATTAGTCTGTTTTCGTCCCTTAATAACAGCCTCCGGCGTGAACAGTCATTCAAATAAGGTCTTAAGTGTTTAAGACTTGAAGTGTTTAAGATTTATCGTGATTGTATCTTTTATGGATTTCGACTGAGGCCTCTTAGTTTACGTGGCGAATGAAGTGAAAATGTAAATGCACCCGTTCTGTGGTCAAACCTGCCTCCAGACGGTGAAGAGTCAGTGAAGAGGGAGGGAAGGACGGACAGCCTCAGACAGACAGACAGACACACAGCAGCGACTCTGTATCCTCCTCAGCTGAAACACGGCGCGGTGACTGAGACCCCTGTCACATCACTTTGTGGAGCAGGACGCGGTCAGAGCTGCAGGCTGTGAGAGTTTTAACAGCAGCGATGCTCCGAGCCCCTCCGCTCAAAACACACCGAGGAGAGAGACGGGAAACACGTCACTCCCTCATTTAGCGCGGGAAACCAGGCCGCCTCCAAACGTCCTCGCGCCTCCCTCCGCAGGGTCCTCAGAAAGGCCCAGTGGGATGGCTTCCAAACCAAGTGAACATATCACTCCCTTAAAAGTGCCCGTTTGAAATTTTCTATCAAAAATATACATAAAAAGCAAACATCCGACAGGAAGTGGTTTTTGGGGGGTCATTTATCACGTGATCCTTCCCGCGCTTTGTTATGTACTACAGAGCCAACATACATAGTAGTGTATAAACTACATGGCGGGATTTTACGTTCAAAAAACATCACAACAGTTTATATAGTACTTATTTTTTAAGGTCATAACCAAAAACTACAGGGAGGCATTTTCTTGATGTTAGGAGTGATAGTGGAACAATCTACCTTGTCAAAAACAAAACAAAAAGAATCCCTTTCCCCTAAAAATACCACACCCACTTTACACTCAATTTGGATTAATGTTGTTATGTGGTATCGCTTCCAAGACGTCCTGTCAGTATTTTAATTCTATCGTCTACATAATTGTGCTTTACACACCAAGTTGCCTTGGAAGTATTGTATTAGGGGTTTAACATAAAACCGAGTTATGATAAGAGCACAAAATATAACTAATAAAGCTTCATAGCACTTTCATGTTGTTACAAATTCTCAGTGTTTCACACAATAAGGATGTTATGTAGAAATGCACATTTTTACTGGTAATTTGAATCCCCTTTGTTTTGTTTACAGTTCAGCCACTAACTGTTATTACCACCAATACCAATGCATTTATCACTCAGGGTATTGGAGAGCAGTAGACCACCTGAATAGGTGAATCATGCTGCGGTCTGCCAGACCAACATGCATCTGATATTTTGTGAAAAGAGGTCATCAAATCGTGTTCTCACTAAATGAGACCTGTACATGTGCATTAGGCTCAATTGCCTGCATTTTGTTTATAGGAGTTCAAAAGGTCAGCTTGGTCAACCTGCCTTCACTGTAAAAAACAAACAAACAAACAAACAAAAAACAACAAACAAAAAACACAGCTTTTAAACTTAAAAAAGTAAGTAATCAGGTTAACTTGAAATGTTGAGTTCATTAACTTAAAATAATAAGTTAACAAAAGTATAACATAAATTGTTCTATGAACTCAAAATTTCAAGTTCAAGGTAAAGTAAAAGCTGCATTGTGTTTTTCCTCTTCTGCTTGTGAGACTGAATATATATTCTTATACAGGCAACCATGTTAACTGCCAAGAAAGGAGTGGAAGAAGCTACAGATGGCACAAACTTATCTCATTAGCAGGTGGTGTGTCATGAGATACCTCAATGTATTTGAAAAAGACAATTGGATATTTGAGGAACACCTACATTTGACAGTTATGAGAAACATGAGGCATGTGTTTGTAAAGGAACATGCTCTTTTTCTCTTAATGAAGACACTCTCAAATCATACCTGTGTTACCACCTGGAGTCTGAACTAAAACCTTTCTTCTTTTTCTCCTTGTCTTCCATGTATGTCAAGGCAAACAAAGAGAAAAGAGGGAGAAACCGAAGACAAGCAATGAGGTACGATCTAAATAATGGTATTCTACTTTGTTACTGTAGATACTGTAGATACTCTTTCACGAGGAATATACTGTGTATCACACACACCCTTATGCAGATGAGATATAGAATAAACTGTGGTTGAGTAACAGAAGAGATACATAAACTAATACAGCTCATTCAACAAAACAGTCGGAACTTAAATTTGTAACTTTACACTAACCATGTCTTTAAGAGGGAAGAGTGTTTCTTGTAAGGAATGCAGGCAGATTTCACAGGTTTTATCATGTAGCTGTAACTTTTACAACTGTAATTATTTGGTGCAAATATCAGTCAAGTGTTTTCCAAAACATAACCACTAAAAGATACACTATGTAGACAAAAGTATTGGGACAAACTTCCTAATCATTGAGCTCAGGTGTTTCAGCCACAACCATTGCTAACAGGTGGATAAAATTAAGCATATAGCCTTGCAATCTCGATAGACCAACACTGGGAGTACTGATGAGCTCACTGACTTTAAATATGGCACTATCATAGGATGCCATCTCTGCCACGAGTCACTGTGTGAATTTCTGTCCTGCTAGATCTGCCCCTGTCAACTGTAAGTGCTATTACTGTGAAATGGAAGCACCCCAACCCCATCAAACACCTTTGGGATTACCTAGAACAGAGACTGCGAGCCAGGCCCTCTTGTTCAACATCAGGGTCTGACCTCACAAAAGCTCTTCTGGATGCATGGGCAGGCAAACATTCTTACAGATACACTCCAAAATCTTGTAGAAAGCTTTCCAGAAGAGTGGAAGCTGTTATAGCTGCAAAGGGGGGGACAAATACCATATTAATGCCTGTGGATTTAGAAAGGGATGTCATAAAAGCTCCTGTGGGTGTGATGTGTTGGTGTCCCAATACTTTTGTCCATGTAGTATATCCAAGGGACACTTAACCTTTCACCACATGTTTCTGGGACTTTGGGAAATTAACATGCCTCTCATATAGAAGCATCAAGCATTTCCAGGTCACTAGGACAGTTGATGGGTTTGGACTTTTGGGACTCTTGGCTGTGTCCAAAACTAAATGCTATGTCACCATTAGCAATGTGTTCATTAGTACAGTATAGCCCTCAACTCAAAATCAGGAAACATTTAATTCCCAAAAAAATCCACAATGTACAATACAAAGAACATACAGCGTATTATAGCAATCAAGTCAGTACATGTCATATCCATATTTACCACTGACCTTTGACTGAGACAACAAAGAAAAGGATGAGGAATAAGTATAGGATCCAGCCATACATGTTAATCTATTGTGTATGGTTTAGTCATGTTTTCACTGGACTATATATCCACTTGATTTAAAACACTGTCTCTACCTTAGCTACTAGCTACTATATCTATAAAATTCATTTTGGACTTTTGGGCAGTTAACATGAGAGCCAACACTGGTCACACCTGGCCTGCACCCATTTTCAAATTAATCTCATTAGCCACTCAAGAAATTCAGTGTTTGGTCAACACATGTCACATGTTTATACCCCTCTAGCCAGCACTTGGCATTGTGCACAGTGAACATGTGCGGCTCAAGACGCATTCTATTAGGAATGCTTTTCTATGTATTATAGAAGCTGTGTGCACCCAACTGAATGCATGTGTGTCAGTAATTGATAAACTTAAGCAGTAATTAGATGAGGTGTCTTATAAGAGGTGTCTTGATACTTTTGGATGTGCAACATACAAGACCTCAAGCAGGATTTAGCAATTTTCCCCTGCATTGACTCATTTTGGCATGAACTTGCAAGTTGGCAAAAGGGTATCCTTGCGTAACACCATCTTTCCATCTTTGCCATCATGCAATATCATCAATCAAGGTTTAAACAGTTTCCATAGGGCGTGAAGGACTATTATGTGCTTTCACTGTGCTAGATAACAATACTTAACAGGTGGAGCATCAAAAAATCAACATTTATCCGTGTGCCATGTCTCGGGTGTAGAAGTTCTGTAGTTTGTAAGTACAAATACAACACGTCACTTCCTTTCTAATGTATCCACATTGGTACTTGGTCAAAAGAGCAAAGTAGGACGCCACGTACACATCATGCAAATCCTGGACATGTTGTAGATGAACAGGCTGACATGACCCACATATACAGCAGTATTTCGGCGGTGTTGCTTTAAAAATCTTATCAGGAACAACGTTTAAAGTTTTAAAGCGAGAAGAGGAGGAGGGAACAGAAGTGCTCCAAGTTTAGTGGACAGGAAAAAAGCAGCGTCTGCTAAACTGCACACGTAAGTATTTCACGTAGCTAACGTTAGCTAGCTAGCAAAGTTGACTGTGATGTGTGGCGGGCAAAATTATAGTTAGTTAGCTCGCTAAATAGCTTAGTTACATTGAATAAGGCAGTTCAATACTTTGTCACGATATCCGTGTTTTGTGAAATCTTCCGATTGGACGGCCATTATCGATTTTTGCTGGACAGCTGTAAGTTAACTGCTCTCCTCTCCCAGTTCAGCTCATGTTAGCCTGTTTTTGCTCAGAGGAGCCCAACTCGCCTGGTCGTTTTCAGAAGAGTCGTGTGATTGTATCTGTATTTTATTCTAAACTTTACTTAGTTGAATTTTATAGCCTCCACGTACAGTTTTTCTTAAGAGGTCTAGCTACCACAGAGCATAAGTAAACTTACTGTATAATTAGCATATTAACCTTTTGTTGTGGCCTAATGTTATCGTTGTGTATGAAACGGTTCATAGTGAAGTATTAAAAAAACCGAGAGGATTTTTTCCAGTTGTATTAGATAGTTAAGTGATATTTAAGTGCACTGTTACTTAACGATTGTCGTTTTGTGTGGTCATGTTTAACACACTTAATGGAGGAAGTCGACTTTCAGTCGAGTTTTAAGGACTAAGACGGGAACATAAGGCTGCTTGTCATTAATGCCTACGTGTAACTGCCCTCGGCTCAGTTGTTGTTGTACTAAGGTTGTTCTTCTGGCCCATAGTTGGCACACCCAAATTCCCCCTGACAGTCTGGAATGGATCAGGACCCAAATTTCCAAACAGTTGAAAGTTGTGGAAACTTCAGTGTCGATGCTGTTTATCTGCTGTTTAATTATGTCTTTTTCTTCTGCAATTCTCCTCACTCTAGGTTAAACAATATTGTCTGCAAGGATGCATATACTGTTTTTACAAGAAAATAGATCAGTCACTAATGTCACACTGTACTGACTGGTTGTAAACTGGTCTGCCTTGTTTTGTGTTGATATATGCAGCACACCCTAATACCAAATGGCAAAGGGGCCTATTCACACATTGCCTTTGTCTAGTACAACTGCTGCCACTGTCTAACATTTTTTTTAAAGATATTTCTATTTTGAAAGTTGTAATTGTGATACATCATTTTAATTTTAGTTGGGGCTTTTTCCTATGCAGAGAAACAATGAGTGAAGTGGATAAGCAGCAAGATGATGTGCCTTCATATTTAAAGGATGAACCTCCAGCAGGTAAGCAAGTTAAGAATGAGTTGTTTTTTTTTTTGCAGAGGGTCAGTCGTGCCTGCTTTTAGTTTTGGGTGGTGATAAAATACAGTATCACAATGTTTTTGGAATAAATCACAATAACTGATGGTATTTATGTTGGCATTAGTAAAATTAGTACAGTTAATTTAAGTTGGCATTAGTAAAAATGAATGCTTCCTGAGTGCTGCCACACTATAGTGACTATAGTAAGTTTTTGTATAATTTTAACTGTTCTTTCAAAACAACCTGAAGTCACATACTAGACATCATGAGTAAAGTGCACAAAAACTAAAAATAAGCTGCTTGGCGCCAGGGACACTGCTGTTGTATGAACATGACATTGTAGATATAATTCTCACTTTTTGTCAAATACATTGCTGAAGTTATATCTCATATCTCAGTATCACAGTATAGGCAATGTATGTCTCAGCACTACCTGGTTTATGTGAAAACAAGCAGTAACAGTATGAACTCACATGGTGGTGCTCTTGTGCCATCCAGGACTCTGTTTCTTTACAGTCAACAAGTACTGAATTGCTCCCTCTTTCTCCTCTGTAACTGGGCTTGCACTTGAGACACAGACCATTCCTATGTTAGCTCCTCCAATTTATTTATTCTTTATTTTCTTTAGATTTGTCACTGCTGAGAAATGAGTGCCAAAAAATGCAAAATGTAAAGAATTAAAGTGGTTAAAACTGCTGTTTCTTTGTATAGGTCTATTTGAATAAGCCATTCCCCAGTTCCATTAACCTTTCCTCTAGAATCCCTCCATTCATGTACATTTAGCTTTAAGACTATCCAAGGCTCCAGGGTCAAACAAATCACATTTAGACAGTAGTATGTAATGCTCATGTGACTTGTTTGTCTGAGCATTCTCTGAAATACCTGACTTGTATGAATATGCTGTGGGGGTATGGTATGGACAAGCCTATGTGTAGTTGCTGGTGACCATGTAACTGTAACATAATATTTGTTTCTTTGGCTACGGCTTATCATTATTGTCATGGTTGCCCTTGTATATCATATTTTCACCACTATAATAGAAGATTATAGTATGTGTAAAATTGTAGGTTTGCTTGTTGTTGATGTTTTGTTGTCTGTCCTACAGATACCAATAAGGATCATCCCCAGCCTCAGCCAGGCATGTTTTCCAGAGTAACCGGGGGGCTGTTCAGTGTCACCAAGGGGGCTGTTGGGGCCACTGTTGGTGGGGTGGCCTGGATTGGAGGGAAGAGTTTGGATCTCACTAAAACTGCTGTCACTTCTGTCGCTTCTGTTCCTGCTATGGGAGTAGGTTTAGTAAAAGGGGGCGTGTCTGCTGTGGCAGGTGGAGTGACAGCAGTTGGCTCAGCAGTTGCTAGTAAAGTTCCCATTGGAGGAGCCAAGAAGAAGGACAAGTCTGACTGAAGTGTTGGGGAGATACTATCAGTGACTATTGCATGACTCCTTAGTGGGTTGATGGTTGGTTTCTTATTCTGCAACACGAGTGCTGGGACCAAATCCATCTGCTAGATCTGGTCTATGAGATGGTGACTTCAGTATGCTGGGAGCTTCCTTCTGCTCCTCAGAAGAGGACCTCTGTTTTTGTGTGTCATGAGTGATATCTGGTGGAATATGAGAGAGAGTGAATATTGCGTTCCAAGTAATGCCAATAATGTTTTTCATTTGTGAAGTATTAGTTCTAGGAGAGGTTTGGATATCTGTGTGAGGGACCACAGTAACACTGGCGTCATGTTCCGCCAAGCCACACAGCACAAAGCTTTGTGTATCTGACAGCAAACACAAGGAATTCACGTTCACTTGTACCAGAGCCTTACAGCCAAATTAACACAAGCCAAGTGCTGGATTAAGACAGACATCAGTTGGGTGCCCCTCAAGGTACTGTACAAGAAAATCAGAGACTGTAGGGAGGGTTGATGGCACCGTTCCATCTGTTGGATTGATTTTGTTTGTGAGATTACTGCCTCTGGGGTCCAAGCTGAGCCATGCCGCCCTCTCACACAGCTTTGCTCATCACTCTCTCGCTCTGTCACCTGCAATACAGAAAAACCCTGAGCCTGCACACATACACAGGCAAATGTGAATGTGTCTACTATGCAGCAAAACAGCTAAAATGGTTACTTTTTTCTCTGCAAAAATCTGAATGCTGGTAGCAGTCTTTCTTAAGAAAAATAGTTTGAGATGGTTTTTCTTTGGAATTGAAAGCTGTGAGTTAAAAGAGCTGTGAGTTAAAAGATAACGTTAGAAAAACAATGGATCATTTGTGTACTCTACCCTTGGAGTAAAGGTTGATTTGTTTGACTATACCAGAGTTTCTTTTTCTTGCAAAAAATGTTTCTAGGGGCCTTCCATCTTTCGTCTCATTCATTTCACAGTTTAGACATTTTCACAAGGCAATACCGAATCACGTTTTTATATTTTGGTAAAGTATGAATGGGCACAGGCAGTATTTTTCTCCAGTGTGTGTTAAATATCTTTATTTTGCTGCAACCAAAGAGTGCAAATAGTGTGAAACCCTTTCTCAAATGCATTAATATTGACCCTTTTGTATTATAAACAATATATTCTCTCACTTGTTTTTACCAGTATATGTTTATTCTTTTTACACACAAATATGTAAGTCTGTACTTGAACATGTGATGTGAATTCAATAAATGAATAATATTCAACAGTGTTGCTTTTGGCTTCAATATTAAATGAGAAATCTTAGTGATAGTAGTTAAGCCACGCTAGAGATCTGCTACCTAACCCGGGCCTGACAAAAAGTGGTGTTTGGGCCGATTTTACACATGCAAAATCTGGTTTGGGTCAAGCCTGGGATTTTTGTCTAGTTTGTGATACTTATGTAGTATATTTCCTCTCTTGTGAGCAGGTTTGGGTTTTAAATTTAGCAGCACCAGTCAGGCCTTGTTGCAGAGGCAATTGTACCCCACACAGATTTGGCTCTTAGACCCTTAAGAGTGAGTGATACAGCAAAAATATAATGTAAAATAATAATAATGTAAAAATATAATCAATTTAATTATGACCTTTGAAGACATTTTCACAATACATGACATGAATCAAGATGTTTAGTTTTCCTGAAACAGTAGTGCAAAATTTTAAAAAGACCATGAAACAAACTTTTTAAATTCAACATTTGCAAAAACAAGCAACTGGTAAAAATAAAAAATTGAGAGCATTGTTTATTAGGTTGACATCCAGTTACTTGATACTATGTAGTTTATGTAGTTCCTATACACTATGATACCTATGTTTGTTCAGTGCTCTAGATGTCTTGACGATACCCATGACATACTCAAAAATATGTTATAACCTAGTTTATCTTAATAACTTTGTCAACTTTTTGCAGTTGTCCCAGGAGTCCCAGTTCCAAGGTCATTCCAGATATGAGCAGTGTGGTGCCAGATGCTTTGAGGACATGGCTACAGGGGTCTCCCCCAGTCTGTCACCTTCAGAAACAGTTTCATTCCTCACACTCCTGGTTTCTCTGCTCAGTGAGCACTTCAAAATGCAGGCTGAAAGTGAGGGCTTCAGTCTTGGGGTCGAGAAGCATTCATTGCAGATTGAGATGGTGGCAACTTAGAGTATGGTGTAGGGGAAATAGTGATAATGAGTGAGAAGTGAATAAGAAATGCCGTACCAAGGTTTTCTTGCAAAAGGCAAAATGGCAGGGTTGTGTTGAGTCTTTCTTGGGAAAGACATTTCTGTTGTTCCAGACACCATGGAGATAAGATCATGTATGTGCTTGTTTGTATGAATGAGGCAGTGTTGTGTGGATGTAGATAATGATCAGTGTAGATTGTGCTTACACTTTGTGATATACATGAAAAAACATGTCAAAGTAAATCAAAGGCATCATTATTTATGAAGTGATGAGTAAAGTCAGCAGCTAGGGTTTCAGTGGGACACTTCACCCGGTGAGGTGAGATGTTTAGTTTTCAGCATGAAAAAGAGCTGTTATATTTGGAGTTTTCATGAGATTACTGTTTATTTATCCTAGATGTAACAATTTATTTTTAATTTAGATTTAAAGCAGAACTATATAATGTTTTTTATTAAAATTGAGAGAAGTAGCACCACTGAGTATGGATCAAAAAGAACAAGCTGCAGCACAATTGACATTACAAAGTGTTCTGCATGTTGTGTGCAATTACATATTTCTATCAGAGAGGTCTCCAAATCCCACATAGTGTTGCTTTAATTGAACTGCTCCCACATCATTCAAGTAGCTAAATGTTTCTTACGTTTTAATTTGTTCTCTGCCATTCTCAGACCTTGTGGGTATTTGGTTCAGCACAGATGTCGCTCATAAAGAATAGCATGTGCCCCTTTCCAACCAATAGCAAAAGGGACTGTAAGCTTGAGTCACCAAGCTTAAATCATTGGTGACAGTGTTCCTGGCAAAGGGAAGGAATTAAATGTCTGGCTCTCAGTTTTTTTCTCTTCTCATTCTGTCTCCACCTCCCCATCCACTCACAAGCCTATGATTCAGACAGCCATTCAGTGAATCAATAATGAGGCCAGTATGTAACTCACAGTTTGCCCAGGGCTTTACACTTCAAAGACCCAATATAAGTGGCTAGGTTGTTAAAGGGGTGGGGAGAGTGTTCTCTGGGGCTGTAAGAAAAATAAACCACTTACCTTGGCCGTTTTGTTCAATGTGCTGTTGGCAAAAACAAAATAGCTCAGCTCAGACAGGCAAGGTGTTTAAGTCGTAAGTTTGCCAGTCTCTGCAATGATTAAATCTTCCTGTTATTGTCTCCATTTTGAATAATTCACAGACGGTAAAGCCCCTGTGGTGGCCTGCTGTTTGCAGCATTTGTATGACTTTGTAACCCCATTGAACTAAGCCACCTGCTACGAAAATGAAATTGCATCCCCTTTAATCTCATATCAATCTAAGGGAAAAGCTAGGTTGTTTCACACAGTGTGATATCTGTTTTTCATGTTTTAAATTAGGAGGGCAAAAATGCAGAACTCCCAGCTTGGATGGGAAAGAAAAACAGAGCGCAAATCAGACGTGAAATATTTGAAATGTGTTCACTGGTTCAAAAGTACATGCAGAAATGCAAATGCAGTGTCAGTGCAGAGTGTGAATAACCAGCCAGAAAGTAAACTATAAAAACAGCTTAAATTATTTCTGTTACGCATGTTTTCATTTTGTTACCTGAATTAGAAAAATATTGTTTTTCAGTGTTTTAGTTAGTCCAACAAAATTGGCCTCAGTAATAGGAATACATAAAATACTTAGATATACTTACTCTAATACTCTTATATACATGTGTTGCCATGTAATTTTAGTTTAGCTTTAAATTATTTGTGGCTGACCTTAGATTTTGAGTCAATTGAATATCATTAAGTAAGTAACAGAAAGACAATCTGTGTCTGACATTGTCATGTAGACTTTTCTGATGTTCAATTAGTCAGCTATGTTACTTTTTTAAGATAAAGTTTAACAATATTTTTTGTGTATGTTACATTTATCTACAGAACACAAAACTCTGAATCTAACTTCAGGGGCTCCCAACCCCCAGTGGTCATCCCAACAAGTGGTGAACCCAAAAGTTGCCACAGCCATCCGTAAGTGGGAGCCCAAAAAGAAAAAAAGCCTGGTAAACTTGTCTGATGGAAATAGTCCCACCTAGTGAGAAAATTGTGCAAAAAAATGACTCATTATTGTTTACCTGAGATGCAGATCTAAAACATGTTAGGAGTTAAAAGAACTTTAGAAGAACTCAAGAAAAGCATGTGATAAATTGCTCTGTAGTTTTCAGTTGAACAGTAATTTATTTACAGTAAGAGGAGCTTTGCTTCACTTGATACAAGCAATATATTACTACTTACTGGTTTGTGGCTCGTGCCATATGAGGTTTTTTTTTTTAGCACTGCATGAGAAAGTCTCAGTTTCAGCAGCACTCACAACAGTCATGATAACCATCGCTTAACACTGATTAAGACTGGCTCCTGTGATTGACAGCTGTGCTGAGGATCAACTCCAGGTGTGCTTAGAATAATAAAAAAGACATGAGGCAGCTGTGTTCCTTCACACAGGATACTAACCCACCTCCTTCGCTTTCAACGTGAGGAGCTCTGTAAGATAAATTGCACGGCAGGAAAGCAGAATACGACGCAGGAAATTGAGGAAAGTATAAATTATTTACACGCTCCCACTTTGATTAATGTAGCCTTAAACAATAAGCAGCAGCGAATTGATTTTTTGCTTTTTTAATTATTTCTGTTTATGACCCAGAGAGCAAGAAACAATCAAAGAGCTGGCTCGGCTTTGATCTCAGAAAAATCATATCATGATTCTCATTGGAAGATGTCTCTCTGTGAGTGATATGGTTAATTGCCCCAAAGAAAACAGATCGCAAATTTTAAATTGTGGCCTTGTTTATTTCTGACTGCAAATAATTTATAACTATACATAATGAGGTGCCAGATTTACTGCTTGGTCTCCATGCAAATAAAACAATTAAAAAGAAAATTCTGCCACAACGTAACTCTTTTATGTGCTCAGCTGAAGACATTGCCTTTGTCTTCAAAGTAGCAGGAGCTGGGAAATCAAGCCCTTCTCTCACCATTATTGAGCTTCCAAGGGTTATAATTATAGAGGTGCTGTAATACATTTATACACATTGCAAATGACTGTTTTGGAACAGCATAGGAAGAGCATTATTAGTCCTTCAGAGTAAAAAGATATAAACATTTTTAATCAAGATGCATTTTGATGCACCTTATCACAAACCTGTGGCAAAACTATTTCTAGGAAATGGACATGGACTTGTTTTGAATCCATTCTTTGAATGGATCCCTTTGAAAAGGCTGCATTACTAAGTGAAGAACATGAGCTGGTCCAAATAAACCAGCACAGCAGTGGGCCCAGTCGTGCTTTTCTCTGCAAGTGTCCGTGCATGTGGAATTCTTGATAAGAGCACTTAAGAGCAAGACCCAGGAAACTGAGTAAACAATTCTTAGAAGCATGATTATAGAGTCAGTCAATATGCTGTGGAATTGGGAACTGTCTGCAGGCACATATAGCATCTGTCCATGAACGTGGAAGAGTGAGGGAAATGTTTGCACTGACACACAGGCTACTAAAAATGATATTTACTTATTTTTGTGATTTGTCTTTTTATCTGGTAATGTTCCAAATGGCCTAATATGGAGCTTATACTGCATGTTAACAATGCTTTTAAAATAAACTGTGTTTATGTGTTTAAAATGTGTTTATTTATCTCAACTTCTCTTGGTTCACCTTTTCTCTTCACTCATTAACAGCCTCACAATGAGAGTCCTGAGCAGGTACTCTGTTCCACAGACTCATTCAGCGTTTGATCATTTTGATTAACACAGTGTTGGTACTTCCTTGAGAAAGCACAGATGGAGATTAAGTTTTGTATTCCATCACATATGCGCACGGGCAACAACACCCCTTGATGTCTGCAGTTCGCAAAGCACACTTTGTCATCTCGTGGTACGCACAGCTTGCTCTGAAAAGAAAACGAGAGAGATATCAAGAAAATGGATAGATTCTTCTCTGTTATGCTTTAAGACAAAATACTATAAGCTTCAATGCCTCCCCTGAGAAATGGTGTGTCATAAATGTCGCTGTGGCCCACAACAAAGATTGAAGTTTCCTCTCTTAATGAGTCAGACTTCTGTGACAGA